TAAAGAAAAGAAATATCTTTAGTACGCACCGTATTTTACATCAGCCAGGAGAGCTAAAAAAAAATCTTAAAACTTGAAAATTCTATTTGGTGGTGGTGAAGGGGAGGGAGGGGGGATTTCGTCAACTTTTTTCAGTACCAAATATTACTCACTAAGTACATGACTTTTAAAATATAAATTGACTATTAGTGCTGCAACAAAAAGTGTAAGGGATGGGGGCAACAAGCCTTTCGCTGAACTTTGCCAGTAGTAAAAAGTCTGTTACGTTTAGGAAAATGTTTCGTGGCCACCCTCCCCTCTACCGGTGCTGGCGCGGATCCAGAAATTTTTTTCTAGGGGGGGTCCACCCCTGTCAAAAAAAAACCCAATCCCAGAAATTTCTTGACAAGCAAAAAAAAACAAAACAAAAACAAAAAAACCTAAACTCACCCAAACGTGAAAATCCTATTTCGTTGGGGGTAGGGGGGTGGGTGGGGGGGGGGGGAGGGGGGGTTGTAGTCTATGACTTCTATTGCCTCAGATCCTTCACTTTTCATACCCATTTCATACATATTCATGTTTACCGGGGGGGGGGGATTCCAAGGTAATTTTTTTCTTGCTTTAGTATATACATTTCTTAATCTTGTAAATTCCAGGGGGGGGAGGGCTGACCCCCGACCCCCCTCTAGATCCGCGCATGTGGTGAAACTTACCCCATAGGAGGTCGTTCAGACGGAAGTCAGTATATATATTGAGACTTGGGGGTGTGATTGTACATTGTATAACGTCCCTTTAAATTGGAGAATTTTTAACTCAAATGGAGAAGCCACCTCTTGCCGGTGGAGAGCTGCAAATTTGTCCTATATACCCAGCACTTATAGCCATTGAGCAGTGAGGGATCTTTTTTCGGGCCAGCACCTACTGCGATACGGGACCTCGGATAATACGGTGTAGAGCTCATCCGAAGGACCGAACTCCACGTCCCATAGTGGGACTATGATTCGAACCCACGACGTATTGATCGACTCCTTACTACTGTGTTTCGTGACTCTAGAGCAGACGCCGTAAACACAGTGCCACGCGGGCGACTGCACCCCGGGGGGGGGGGGGGGGGGGGGGAGTCATTATCCACTTTAATACTCGTGAAAATTATCTATGTTTAACTAAACGGTTAAAATGATTTAATTATTAACCACTATTAAAATGATACCATTAAAAAAATTATTCATATAGGACGGTAGCTGAAGAACTGTAGCTCTCCGGAAAAATATATAGTGACAGACCGGAGAGCTACAGTGCCACCCATTGTAAAAGCTGTATATTTATTGCGCACGAAAATGTGCGCTGTTTCTCGATTTATTTCTCCATGTTTTTAAAACTGTCATCTCAAAATATTACTAACCGTGTGTTCCTAGCACATTCTTCCACTGTTTCCAGAACAAAACATTCCTCACAATCGTTTTTCATAGCCCTCCTGGACCTTGAATTGAGATCGTCGAAAATTTCGCCTATTTATACTGCCATTTTGGTTTGCAAGATAATTCGGTCCAACGCACTTCGTGCACATGTAAACTACGAGAACTGGTAAAGGAGTATTGACTTTTTCTGAAATCTAGCTTTTTTGCAATTGAGGTAAGTATTTGCAAGAATTAATCCAGAACCGAGCGCACTTTTTTGTGCGCAAAAAATATACAGTTTTTTCAATGGGTGGCACTGTAGCTCTCCGGTCTCAACATATATTTTCGGAGAGCTACAGTTCTGCAGCTAATAGGACGGATAACTTTTCTTCAAAAACTGAAAACGTTAGTATATAAACATTGTTTTACGATTTAAAAAAAAAAAACAATTCGGGGGAGGGGTTGCTATGAAGGGGGACGGATTGCTATATACAGCGAGATTTCCCACGGAAGACTAGCTATATATTGAAACTTCCCCGGGGGAAGTCTCACTGTATAATCTTCCGAAGGAAGCATTACTATGTAGACAGTCTTCCAGGGGAAATATTACCATCTTCCGAGGGAGTGGCATTATCGGGTACATACCTGAACTTATAACAAACATCATTTGAAAATTAGTTCGATTGATAAAGTATTAAGGCAGAAAATTGAAAAATCTCGAATAACCCCGGCCCGGGTTTGCTTACCTAGTTTTACCAACACTCGTGGCGAACACCCCTGCCACCTAGCGTTATAATGCGGCACTAAATTTTGACAACTTGTATTCGTCTTCATTGAATATGCTTCATTCTTTGTGTGATTGAATTCACGTTCGTAATAGAGATAATCATTTAAGAAACTGTATCAATTTAAAAGAAAGTAAAATGAATCTACAAGAATAAAGCAATAGAAGTAAGGGCAAAATGAAGAAGGATAAAAGTCAAAGTGAAATGTAATAAAGACGAATATGAAAACAATAAAGCGACATATAATTACAACAATAACAAAGCATAAAGAAGTAGGCAGAATAAGAATAAAAGCAAGATACATAGACTTTTGGCGGTAATTCCCTTCCATAGTGATGTATGTTCGAAATCTTGTGATGTATATTCGAAATCTTGTTATGTATATTCTATAATCTTGTGATGTATATTCGAAATCTTGTGATGTATGTTCGATAATCTTGTGATGTATATTCGAAATCTTGTGATGTGTGTTCTACAATTCAGTGATGCGTGCAATAAAATTGCATGACGCAACAGAAAAGTAAGGACAATTTTCATTGGTTAGAAATAACGAAAGTAGCTGAAGCGTCGGGAAAACCATGCAGGTGAGAAAAAAACATCAGTTTGTTTATTGCAGCACTAATTACGAGATGCACGAGTGTTGTTCCTGGTGACATGATGAAGATATTTCGGCCTGCTAGGGAAAAAAACTCAGTAAACGTAGATATATTGACAAAATTTGTAGGTACTTGTAACGATATGTCACGATGCTGCATTGTCAGATACAGTATTTATACATGCATGCTAAAAAGTTAAATCTCGTAGTAATCAATATAGCAGAAGAATAATGAAGAGTACATACTACAAAAACTGTGCAATTTGTAGCAAGATTAATTTTTGTTTAACAGCTGTTTTTATTACATTTTATTTCGTATTATTACTACCAAATACTGCTACCGTTTGTTAATGTTATGCACATGGTTATCTTGTACTTGCAAGTAAATGTAACATTTTAAAAAAAAAATAATGAAAAAATAAGTCATTTAGGCTATTTGATAATAACATGCTAAATGAACATGTTTTGCTTTTTAATTCTCCTTCACTCAGTCTTTGTATAATGTATATTTTTAGACGAGCTCATCGCCAACCAGGAGATCAGAATGATCGCATCTGCTCCTGCCACTTTAAGGATGGTAAGAAGGAGGGGGACCCTGCATATTTTGCATGGAATGAAGGAAAAGCCATGGATTTCTCTGATCCTGAATTTACAAAAAGGTGAAATTATTTTTCAAAATATGACCGACATCTTGTTTTTGGATGGTGGGTGGGTGGAGTTTAATTGAGAATATTTTACTAAAAATCTTTAAAAGGGTACATGTATAAACAGAGTAGCTTACAACTGAATAAAAAAATAATTCAAGTTTAATTATTTTACAAAGGAGGAAAAAACTCAAAAGTGAGGAGTCCCTGTCATCTTAAGATGGACCAGTTGCAGATTCCACAAGCACCAAAATGTCAATATCAAGAAAAAGTAAAGCTCATTTAAATCACCAATGATGACAAATGACCAACACTGAAATATTTTCAATAATTTTTAATAATATATAAAGTTCTTTTAACTGTACATGATTTACAATATATTTTCAGTTGATATCAGAGCACAACTACTCAGCGTCCTGCACATTTAACTGTACTCAAGAAATGCAGCGCCTCTCAACAGAAATACAACTGGAAAAGGAATTGCTTGCCCTAAAAACAGAGTCTAGTAAAAGGAAGCCAATATCAATCCACGATATTAAATACAACGAAGAGAAGGTACATTTAAAGGAATTCCAATTGTGATTTCCTATTTCCTAACAATTTCAGTTACTGTAATAAAAACTTGTTGCCATTGAGGGATGAACATCTTAGATTGACTGTTATGTTAACATATTTTGTTATTATTTGGGGGTGTTAGGTATCTGATCAGCAGGGGCATTTTCTCTATATAAGAAGAAAATGGAGACTCCCTACCCACCTGATTTATTTGTCGGACAGTTTTCTGTACAATGCAGGTAAATTTTTTATTTATTAACTTTCCAGCCTCTTATTGTATAGTACATTTTGGGGTTTGAAGTCAGTTTTTGCTTTTCTTTAATTTTTAAAAAAAAAATTTTTAATTCTCCTTTTTCTTAGAATAAAATTCAAAAAGTAGCTTCTGATTGTAATGTATAAGATATTGAAGGGAATTACCGCCAAAAGTCTATGTATCTTGCTTTTATTCTTATTTTGCCTACTTCTTTATGCTTTGTTATTATTGTAATTATATGTCACTTTAATGTTTTCATATTCGTCTTTATTACATTTCACTTCGAACTTTTATCATTCTTCATTTTGTCCTTACTTCTATGTTGCTTTATTCATTCTACTTTCTTTTAAACTTATACAGTTTCTTAAATAAATTATTAGGATTATCTCTACTCCGAATGTTAATTCAATCACGCAAACAATGAAGCATATTCAATGAAGACGAATGGAAGTTGTCAAACCGTCAAAATTTAGTGCGGCATTATAACGCTAGGTGGTGTGGTGTTCGCTACGAGTGTTGGTAAAACTAGGTAAGCAAACCCGGGCTGGGGTTATTTGAGATTCTTCAATACGCCTTAATACTTTATCAATCGAACTTCTGAAGGCCGGATCCGATTTCACCCGATCCAATGATGGAAACTCCATATTTATTTTCTCTGGGCACACAGGAATAGCGGCCTCTTTTTTTCAGACATAACTTTATACCATACTGAATATGTTCATTGAAAGGCCGACCCACGTTTTGTAAGAGTAAGGGTCAAATAAGTTAATGTAGTATAGTAGGAAGAAAATTTAAATTTTATACTGTGTTTTTAGGTTCGAACTCCAGTGCCAATTTTTTTTCCAAACACCACCACTTTCCCATTTCAAACCCATACTGCATCGTGTCCATGGAAAGGGGGGGGCTAAACCTACGCAGGAATGTTCAATGTACTAAGTCTATCTTCGGAAAAAAAGTTGGGGCTAAGCCCCCCCCCCCTTCCCAGTTCCGACGCCTATGTATTTTCAAGTTTGGACAATTTCCTGTTTTTGTTTTTTTTTTGCTTGTCATGTTGTTTTCAGCCGGGTAGCCTGAATTTTTATTCTCTTGTTGCCCCCCCCCCTCCCCACTTTCAAAAACGATGCTAGGTCACTGTTCTCTCACCTGAAAAATATAACTCTATTAAAGTTATTTGTTGGATAATTGAATTCCAGTTTAATTGACATAAAAATTTTAATATTTTTAATATCTTAAGTACGCACCGTATTTGTCATCAGCCAGGAGAGCTCAAAAAATCTTAAAACTCGAAAATTCTATTTGGTGGAGGTAAAGGGGGGGGGGGGGAGGTCGTCAACTTTTTTTCAGTACTAAATTTTACTCATATGCATGCCATTAAGTACATGACTTTTAATATATAAATTGACTGTTAGCATGATTAGTACTGCAACAAAAAGTGTACGGGAAGGGGGCAACAAGCCTTTCGCTGAACTTTTCCAGTAGTAAAAAGTTACGTTTAAGAAAACCCATAGGAGGTCGTCCACCCGGAAGTCAGTAAATATATTGAGATTTGGGGTTGTGATTGTACATTGTATAATTTCCCCTTCGAGAATTTTTCACTCAAATGGAGAAGCCACCTTTTACCGGTGGAGAGCTGCAAATTTGTCCTATATACTCGGCACTTATAGCCATTGAGCAGTGAGGGATCTTTTTTCGTGCCAGCACCTACTGCGACACGGGACCTCGGATAATACGGTCTAGATCTCATCCGAATGACCGAACTCCACGTCCTACAGTGGGATTAGAACCCATGACGTATTGATCGACTCCTTAAAACTGTACTTCGTGACTCTAGAGCAGACGCCTAACCACAGTGCCCTAC